CAAACATGAACCCTGAACCTTAAACCAAACATGAACCCTAAACCCTAAACCAAACATGAACCCTAAACCCTAAACCCCTCCAAGCACGGGCCCTCTCCTCGTCAGCCCGGGAGTCGTGGTGCCGCGAGTGTCGACCATCCCGACCATCCCGGTCCCGGTCCCGGCCGTCCCGGCCGTCTCGACCGTCCCGGCCGTCCCTGCCGTCCCGGTCCTGTGGTTTAGGGTTTTGGGCTTTGGGGTTGAGGCCTAAAGGGATGTAACGGGTTTGGCGTGGTTATGTCAGGGTTTCGGGAAGGCCTGGGAATTGGAGGGTCCTTTTCTGTCTTGTAAGGACACGTGAAAGAGGCATCAAGCACTCGGAAGGATAATGAAGGCGAAACAGCAAGTTTCTAAGACATGCATCTGCATCCAAAACGCCAACACCGAAACCTGCAGCATGCCGGAAAGTGTGCCCAGTTTCACCAGTAGCCAGATGGGTTAGATCGTAGTAGGACTTATGTTCACGGTTGAGAACTCCGGGCTTCGTCTGCAATGAAGCTTAGATTTAGCGTGTGATGGGGGTGAGATTACGGGTCCAGCTAGGGTCAAGAGTATCTGTGTACCGAACAAGCCGTGCACCTTCTGGCCAGGAAGCTACCAAATAGGAACTCCCACACGAAGGAGAGCCAGGTAATTTTTTGGCAGTTGAACCTTTAAAGCCTTACAACAACCTTGCACCCTGACTGCCACATAGCCGTTACGAAAAAAACAAACGCCCAACAACTCTTATTAATACCATTTATGACCCTGAAACCTCAGCAACAAAAGGGAGATGGCATCCTGAAAACGACACATGTATGTGTGTATATGTGTACACTTTCCTTTGTGTGTATTTTATTTCTACACATGCCCACACACACATGTATGTATGTATGTATGTATGTATGTATGTATGCATGCATGCATGCATGCATGCATGTATGTATGTATGTATGCATGTATGTATGCATGCATATATATATATACATGTACAGTTGCACATATTTGCTTGTCTACATGAACTTACCTTTGATTCGGTACTGGCTTATAAACATGTATGCACGTATGTATATGTATGTGTGTATGCAAATATGTATGTACATATACATATACATATACATATACATATACATATACATACACATACACATATACATATACATATACATACACATTGTAACACGCAGATGTATGTATGTATGTATGTATGCATGCATGCATGTACGGATGGACGGAGGGATGGAGGGACGGATGGATGGATGGATGGATGGATGGATGGATGGATGTATGTAAGTATGTATGTATGTATGTACGTATGTATGTATGTATGTATGCATGTATGTGTGTATGTAGGAACGGCTGTAATATAGGGGCTTCAATATCTAGAATAGGGTTTTCTGGCACATACGACGATATTTATAGTATCAGGGACTATCATAAGATATAAGATAACAGTTAGTATATATTTTCATAGTATATATCACGGACTTTTTCAGTTATAAGGTAATAACTAGTATCGATATTTATAGCATCAGGGACCATTATAAGTAAGTTATAAAGGCAATAATTCGCATCACTTTACACTCCGACCCCTGTAGTACCCAGTAGAGACCGAGGAGCTCGATCGCGATCCCGGCTCCGGGGGGGCTCACGCTGGTCGCCTCTCGTCCAACAGAAGGTACGCTATGTTTCTTTAGGGTCTAGGGTTTAGGGTTGAAGGGCTTAGGGTTTAGGGTTTAGGGTTTCGGGGTTTCGGGGTTCAGGGCTTGGGTCACCTTACTGTATGGGTTTAGGGTTCAGGGATTTATTCACTGGTGGGCAGTTGCCTAAACCCTAAAACCTAAGTTGAGCTTCAGCTGTAGAGTTTGTTCACCTTGATTCATGGGTTTCTTCGAACATGTCTCTCCTTCTGGATTGGTGAGGCTTTACGGCTCAGGGTCTAGGGTTTAAGGTCAATGGTTTAGGGTAATAAGTTAGTAATAAGGGTCCTGCTACTTAGAGTGTACAGTGGTGGCCCTGATTTTTTGAGAACTCCGATGTCCAAGTGCGAAACCCACAAATGCAGTGGGGAGGTAAGGACACTTGTTACGCCCCCCAATGATACTTCTATAGTAAGCCTTATATAGGCTCGTAGGAAGCCCCCTAAACCCTAAACCCTAAACCCTAAACTACGAAAAGGAGTTCTTAAAGGAACCCAAATTCACCGAGCATCTGAACTCCAATTCTGTGCGGCCTTCACACTGCGTCTGCTCACATGAGACCATCGTTTAAGTTTAGGGTTTAGGGTTTAGGGTTTAGGGTCATCCTAGGAAGCGTAATCCCAACTGCCTAACACCTGTAGAAGGCCTGAACCCTGAAACCCTACACCCCAAACAGTAAACCCCTAAACCTTTAAACGCCCAACCCCTAAACCCTAAACCCCTAAAGCCCTAAATCCTAACCCCTGGGACTTTATGAAGCAAGTCACGGTCCCTGACATGGTCGCGCTTGCGGGGCTCACGCTCCCAGCCGCGATGCTGCTCTTGGCCCCGGTCGCGGTCGGAGAAGGCAGTGCCTGAACTTTGGTTTAGGGGTTCAGGGGGCCTGAACTTTGGTTTAGGGGTTCAGGGGTTTAGGGTTCAATTAAGATTCGAAACCGTCAACCCTAAACCCCAAGCGGCCCGAAGCTTCAGAGAGTGGAACGCCCTGAAACCCCCATAATTAACAGCTTAGTCGCATGCGTTATAGCGAAACTGACTTTTGAAATAGGGGGCTGGTGCAACACTTGTAAATGCACTCAGCTCCAAACCAACTCGTATTGAGTCGGTTTCCGTCATTCCATATACTAGATCTTTATCCTTGCCAGCACATTTGCAGCAATCGTTCGAAAACATGAGCAGAATTGAGTATGTCAACAACAAATGACGAGCAAGGAACATATTATGCATCTGCGCCACAGGAGTTCAAAGTATGCCCGCACTGAGTCCAGAAGATACGGTTTCAGCATACCGCCACGTATGATAGATTAGAGCCATGTCTTTGCATGTGTGTGTACCGTATTCAGTCAACTGTGCATAAGTTTGCATGGAAATCTTTATGGAGCTTGCACGTCAACGTGTATGTAAACTCTTAGGCAAATCCTTCCCACAGTCTGGGCCAACGACGTTTGTAGTTCTTGTTAACATTACTGAGCATTACTGTGCGAAACCAACTTGGCATCTTAACTTCGAGCCTGAATGTGGGGATGCATGCCTATCATATTTACATGACCATACGCATGACTGCATGGCTTCTACATGACAGCTTGTGGCTTATGATATCCATCTTATCAACATAACAGGACCGTGGCAATCTTCCGATTCCTGGTTTTATCAATTAAGAATGTCTCTATGTCGTATCGTTTTGCCCAGACCCCTCCCCCCCCCCCCGTTATCAGATCACCCATTAAACTCAACTATGGATGCTACAGTCAATCCCCATTGTATGTGTCGATAAAGATTCCAAAGGAATTTGGGGCTCTCTTCGAAACCTATTCTGACGAGCCTCGCATTGATTGAAACCTGGTATCTAGGACTACTGCGGGTAGTCTCCTGACCCACAACTTCGTGTGTGGGCATGTCCAGCTCTGTCCAGCTCGATATAAATGACCTTGCCACATGGCTGTAGCATATCGTCGATACAATTTTTTGTCCATGTCCATTGCTTTGGAGGCTATACTGCACAAGCTCCCACCACCCTCCCATATATACACACTCTGACATTAAGGTGTTTTTTGTTTTGAAGGCCCTTTGGCAGGGCTTGAAATCCAACCGGCCGCCTTGTGAAAGTGCGTAAGATATCCAAATCTGCACGCCCATTGCTTGGATGAGGTGCCCCTTCAGCTAAATGGCTTAAATAGTGGCAGAAGATTGGTTCATATAGACATTCAGCATAATGTGTGTTAGATGTCTCTATACAGCATATGTTTGGAATCCCAACATGTCCTCAATCAGATCGTTGTGAGCCCACAGGTTTAACTTTGATGATTCCTAAAACTTCTAAAGCAGCTTCGGCATTTCATGAACAAAAGTCTGTGTCGGTGAGATTTTAGAATCCGATAGGGGGCCGTGGTCTGGAACTAAACTTCCAACCTTTTTCAGTTCACGTGCGGATTTTCCGTCTGAAAATTGTCATTTTCAGATACACTATCAAAAGTGTTGTGCTTTCACTTTCTTCATTATATGATCATATGAATCATATGATTAGGATAATATCAGCAGCCACACGTGTGAATTCTGAGAAGCGACTTGGTTTAACTACAACCAATCCTCTTATAAGACAGACGGAGTGAGAGTTCGTTACCTGCCACCAAGCTGTATAAGTCCTGCCCCGTACATGCAGCACACATGGATGGATGTATACCGCCACATCAAACCGCCGCGCGTGCGGAACTAAATTCCAGCCGCGCGCGCGGTGAACTAAATGCAGAGGCCACAGGCATCCGAGGCTTGTGGCCTCCAAGGCCTGGAGGGCGGGGCGAGGGGGGGGGGTCAAAACAAAGAAACAATTTGGGTCTCCAAGGGGGGGCGGGGGGTCAAAACAAAGAAACAAATCAAATCGGTCGTCAAATCCGGACACCCGGATTTTGTTTGTGTGTTTTTGANNTTCCCGCCCTAAGGCACTGGCCCTATAGTCCTCAAACCCGCACCATATCTTAAAAGGACATGTGATTACCTATTCGTGTGTACATGTTAAACCATTGCTCGTTTGGAAGAAATGCCAATACAGAAACTTTAAGCAACACTCCACAAAACATCACAAAACTTAATTTGTGGGAAAAAACAAGGGCCCCACAGCGAACCGAAACCAAGCCACAATAGGAACAGCTTAAACCCCTACAGAGCCCTTATACAAACCGATATCAAACCACAAAACGACCTAAAACCTTGAACGCACCCGTTGAGAACCATTATATAAACAGAAGCCCAAACCACAAATGAAGATCCTTTTCTAGGACAAGGTGCGCTGCCGCTTCCAAGGCGCGTCGCTGTCGGCTTTCATGGCCGCCTGCTTCAAGGATGAAGTGCAGCATCGAACATAGGGGTCATAATAATTGGAATAAGGCTCCTTGCCAGGATTCCAACGAAATTGGGTTCCTAAACCCTAAACCCTAAACCCTAAACCCTTGGGTTCTAGAATTATAACGGTTACTATAAAAGGTCCCATAATACACGAGCCCTAGTCTTAGCAATCGGAATAGGGTACCGGGGTATTTCGTACCATAGCTATAACTATGTATGACTTTTAATGAAGTAATAACTGTGGCCAAAGTTCTACAGGGTTTTGCAAGGTTACTCAGGTTCGTGCAGGGTTTGTGGAAGGGCTCTAGAAAATTCAGGGGGCTTCCTTCAAGGGACGTATGTCGAGAGCCTCTGCAGGTTGAGCTGACATCGAAGGCAGCTGCAGTCATAGTTATGCCGTAATCCCTAAACCCTAAACCCCTAAACCCTAAACCCTATACCTCTACCCAGGATTTAGGCTTCGGGGTAGTGATTCCTCTACTTGGGTTTCTGAGACAAGCCTTCTTTCCTGCCCTACTTCTTGCCGCTCATGAACCTTCAACAGCAATTTTGGTGCCTTAAGCCGAAACCCTAAACCCTAAACCCCTAAAACCGAAAACCTTGATGGACAGCAGCCAACGGCCTTCGTTTAAAGAGTCAGCTAGTGTTGATGATCTAAATCCTGCATTACCGTAAGGACCTAAAACTATGGGAACTATTGTATATTTCTTGCTACTTTTGTGGTGTACTCCTTATACTTATGGTATACTCCTTATAATTATGGTATGCTCCTTATAATTATGGTATACTCCTTATAATGGGTAATGCAGGATTTATATCATCAGCCGTATCACCGGACAGCATCCCGAACCCCGGAGCTGAACCCTGAATTTGGGTTCCTTGTTAACCCAGGCCCATCCCCAAAATCTCAAGCTGTACCGGGGTTTAGGGTTCAGGGTTTAGGGAAGTTTAGGTTTTAGGGTTTAGGGCTGTAGCCCATAGTCGTGTTTTGTAACCGGGGTTCTGCAGGGGCTTCTGGCTATCCATGCCCTTTGGGGTCACAGGTAGTCAAGGGTTTCAGCGTTTGCTTCATGTCGCTTCCCTGACATAAATAACGAGTCATACCACGAACTACGGGTATAAGAGGCGACGGTCCTGTGGCGATATGCGTGGTCCCTAAACCCTATAAGCCCTAAACCCGGGAGCCACGGTTTAGGGTTTAGGGTTGGCTTAGTACCGAATCGTGCCGCTGACATGAGACCATCACAGTTCTAGGATAGCCTTATAGGGTTTAGGGTTTAGGGTTTCTAAACAGGAACCTCTCAAACACACTGCGCAGAAAATCCAGAAGCCCAAAAGACTGCCTGAATCCCCTGGCCCAGCACATCTTATTGACTCGGTAATCAGAAAATAGAGGTTTCCGAAATAGGGGACCCTGATATAGTAAGTGCCCTTAACAGTAGGGTCCTTATTACAAGGACCCTGGAAATAAGGTACCCTAATTTTCGGAAAGTCCCAAACAGCAGAACCTGAAAAAAGGAGGCCTTGGCGCTGGTAAGGAACTTCTGCATCTGCATCTGGTGATCCTCCTCAGAGCTCGCTTTCCTGGGCTCTTGTTCAGGATTTCACAAAGCTACGGTACAAGTTACAAGAGAAGCCACGTTACTTACTATAGATACCTATTATGGCAACTTCAGTTAAACTCCTGCACAATTTTAGCGCCCAGTTTCGGCCGATCTTTTAAGGAGAAGGCCTGGACGCGAGTCTGGGGTGTCTCTTGGGAGGCTTGCTCCGGATGGTACTGGGAGTGCTCTTGTGCTTGCTGGGGATGTTGGTACTGGTGTTGTGGCTGATGGTGATGCTGTTGCTGTTGCTGGTATTGTTGTGGGTGATGTTGCTGTTGTTGCGGATGCTCCTGTTGCGCTTGATACGCATTCGCATAGAGTTGCGGAAAAGATGGCTGCGTCGAAGATGCTTGCTGGGCAGCCTGAGTCTGTTGGTGTGCATGCTGTTGATACGCCTGGGAATCTCCTTGCTGGTAGGCCTGCTGATACGTGTTGGAGTCTGCTTGCTGATAGTGCTCGCTGGCATGCATCTGAGGGTACGGTTGCTGTTGCCCCGGCGGCTGAGCATGTGCTTGCTGGTATGCCTGCTCGTGCACTTGGGGTGCTGCTTTGGCCTGCACCTGTGCCTGCTGAGCAAGGTTGTCTTGAAAGGTTGGCTGCTGCGGGGCTGCCTTCTGAAACGACTGTGTCTCCTGGTATGCCGCTGTAGGGGGGGCTGACTTAAACGCCATGTGATGCTGAGCCACGGCTGGCTCATGCTGGGCTGGCGCAGGTGTAGGTGCAGCCTTCGGGGGTGGCGAGTACTGAGGATGTTTTGGAAACACCGGCTGACTCATGTCGGCAAGCTGCTGCGCTTCGACCGCAGATGGGGCGGCCGCCGCAGACTTGGACTTGCTCAGCAGGTCTGCGCCAGGCACCACCGCCGGCAGTGTCGCCGACACCGCCACTGCTGCGGACTTGGGGGGCACTGTTGCGGGTGCCGGATTCAGTGCTGCGGCCGGAACTACCTCGGGCATCACGGTCGCTGCCGGCACAGCGAGGCCAGGACCCGGGGTTATGGACTTGGCCTTCGCCGGATGCCTCGCAGGAACCACCTTTGGCGCAACAGTGACTGCAGTGGCGACTGCGGCTGCCCCGGCCCCAGGTGTCACAGGCCCGGGGCGCTTGGGGCCCACGGCCATCCCGGACTTGGCCATTGCGGCTCCGAGCGTCTCCTCGCGAGACGCAGGTTCAGGCCCTGGCGCCTCAGCATCGGCTGTAGATCCCTAACCGAACCCTCCAGGTACCTACTATAGGGCCCTAGGGGCTCTAGTACCCTATATAGTAAGTACCTGGGGGGGGTTAGGGATTATTAGAGACGAAGAGAAAACTTACAAAACTCAGGGACCCAGCTGTGGTTCTACAGATCCCGATCCCAGTATCATTACAGACGAAGAGAAAGCTCGCAAAACTAAACAGAGGCCAATGCCGTCCTGGGATTTGGGATTTCTGAACCACGAATGAAACAGCCATAAACAGCCTTTTCGACTCTGATTAGGTCCAGCCACAGCCGCTTTGGAAGAAGTCGGAGCCTCGGATGCCACGGTGTCTGCCACGCCAGTTGCAGCCACTGCACCTTGCGATTGGGCCATGGCTGTTGTGACATCCGCAGTTGCTGGAAAAGAATATCCGGGCATCATGTTGACAGCACTCATGGCGTTCACAGTTGGCATGCCCAGGCCATACGCGGCATAGAGCGCAGACATGTCGTAGGTGAAGCCGTAGGACGCAATGGCGGCGGCTGTGGAGTTTAGCTGCGTCGCCGTCTGCGGAGTCTGCTGCTCGGCCTGCCCCTCAGCCTGCGATTCTGCCTTCGGCTCTGGCGCAGGACTCGTCACTCTCTGTGGGGTTGGCTCGATCTTCTTCTCTGGCTTCTCTGGGAGTATGATGGGCTCCGTGACGCGGGGCTCCAATGCTTTCTTCTTGTTGTGCTCATGCACGAGCATAGCCCTCTGCATGTCAGCCTGAATGCGAACAGTACGTGTTGACATCAAGTGGCTGCACGACCCGAAACTATGATCTTGCCACAGTGATTGTGCAAGCTGGCCTCCATTTGCTTGTTTCTCTTTTCGGCTGCCTGGCCATACTGCAAGACATACTCTAAGGGCATCCGCATTCAGACGGATTCGGAACAAAATCTTGTGGAAGGCAACAAGGGGACTTCCAGTTTAGGCACCTACTTCCACTCCAATAGCACCATATCTGACAGTTTTCTGACTGTCTGCCCCATGTCCATCCTCGCAGTCAGTCTATGCACGAGAAACTGAGCTCGGTTGAGAGTGTGAACCCTGCGATGCTACGACAAAAGCACGACACACAATCTGACAGCAACGAAACCCTAAAACCCCAAACCCTAAACCCTAAAACCCTGAACTCTGAAACCATGAGT